TGGCCATTGATGAATGATCACTGATCATGACAATTTGCATTTTTATGATCAAGAAACTGACCTCACATTGTTTGTCAGTGGTTGTAGTTTCTGTCATTGTGCAAAGTTACTGTTTATAAGGTTGGGAAAACCTGCAGTGAGCTGAGACTGAAGAAGGTGAAAACAGCCAAAATCACATTATCGAGTATGATCAGGCTACGATGGAGGAGATATCAGCAATGATTCCACTGAATGTCGCTGGAAAACTGGTCATCTGCATGTCATGTGACAGAGCCAGTTGTCACTGATGTGGTCACAGTAGCTATTAAAAAGTTTGTAGCATCTTTACTGTCCAGTAAAAACTAAAAAGTGCCTATTGTGATTTGGCGCTATATAAAGAAAACTGCCCCTTTGAGGGCAGAGCCAGGACAAGCTGGACAGATTACATCTCTCAGCTGGTCTAGAAACACCTCGATGTTCCCCCAGATACGATAGTGGTCTGGGCTTCGGTCCCCTATCCCGTGACTGGATCCCGGATAAGCAGAAGAAAATGGATGGAACGAACTGAATCGACCTGCACACGACATCCTGACAGGAAATTTCTCTGACTCAGAGCGTATTCAGCAATTATTTGACAGTTTTACTTCAGATTTACAGGGGAAACCCAAGCTCGGTTACTCTGCTGCTTAGATTTATTCTTTTACCCGTGCATGTGGAAAGACTAAATATAATATTACCGATTGGTTATTGGTTGTTAGGGATGGGTATCGTTTAGGTTTTATCCGATACCGGTGCCAAATCGGTACTTTTGAAACTGTGCCGGTGCTCAAACGGTGCTCAAACCGGTGCTTAAAGAATGGAGAACACAAAATTGGTCCAAAAACCTCTCATGTTCAGCTGTTTTTTGTAAAAAGATAACAATGTTAGCCTTTTCTGCAGCTATGGGGCATATATGGTATCACTCTTGGCTGGAAGCAGTGCTTAAACAATGGAAAAAACACAAACTTTATCCAAAAACCTTTTATGTTTAGCTGTTTCCCTCTTTTTCTTTGGTCATTTTAGCCTTTTTGGCCAGGGTGAAGGGAGTATCTGCCATCAAACAAGAAAACAGCCGCATGTAACTACGACGCTGTTTGCTAGTTCACCTTACATGCATTAATGTAATAACGTGGTTAGCCTACTCAACGTAAATTAGCTACTCACGCAGAGAAGAACGGCTGCTGCTGCATCATCCTCATCATTTCTGCTACACTGGCAGGGCTAGGGGCCAGGACTCTCCTCTTCGTGTTTTTGGGTATGTTGCTAACTCCGGGTCCGATAACAGGCACCACACCCGCAGTAGATGTGCTTGGTGTGAGGTCTCGCAGCAAGCCATCAAATACGGCGCATTTTTCGGCTTTTAAAAAAAACGCTATGCGTCGCCAGGTGTTTCATCGGATTTGAGGTGTTGCCTCCTTTGACAGTATCACAGTATCAGCTTAAAGATTAGATTAGATTAGATTAGATAGAACTTTATTAATCCCTCGGGTGGGTTCCTCTGGGAAATTCGATCAAAGCACTTGTTGCAGGCTGCTGAGTTTGCATCTTTTGCTGTGAAGTACAGCCAGACTTTTGACCGCTTCGCCTTGGGCATTTTTAATCTGTAGCTCTGCTCTAAAAGAACGTACATACCTGGGCCCGCCTACTATCCTCGGAAACGTAAAATGATTGGCTAGAAGTGTATCACAGCTCAGGAAAAAAAAGCACCGAAATAAAGTACCGAAATGTGCGCTGCTTTTTGGTCTGGTTACTACCGTTTATGTCAGAACCGGTGCCATCATGGCACCGGACACCGGTACCCATCCCTATTGGTTGTCATGGTGATATGGCTGTTCATGAAACATAAAACACAGCATTCAGTGGTGAAGGTTAAGGTTGATGTTTACGTCTTCACCAGGCGGGTTTGAGACGGAGGGATTTTTAGCTCTTTTGTCCTTCTGTGATATAAGGACTCAGTGTGGTGCCCTGCCTAGTTACTGAGAGAGGAGTCTGGTAGAAGCGGTGCACTCAGTGGTTGTCTTTGCTCCTCCTCCTCTCACGCTTTGATAATGACTCACCGGGGAAGAGAATATCTGGCCAACCAGAGCCGAGCATCCTTTAGGGAAGCGGAGCCTTCGTGGTACCATGTCTGCTGGCACTGTGATTGGTCAGAGAGAAAATGTTTAGATCATGCAGCCAGGTGTTCTGAAGCCCCACCCACACTCCAGGTCAGCTGACCTCATCCTGCGACCTCTTCGCTCGCTCTTCGTCCTTCCTGGATTTCTTCAGAGCGTCCGGACCGACCACGGACAGCACACTGCGCAGCCTGAAGACACACACACACTTTTACTTCCTGTCTGCTTCCTCCCTGTCACACTGACCAAGTTTGACAGGTTTTTAAATTAAATTATTGGCCCAAAATATTCCTCAGATGACTGCTGAGAGTGTTCTACAGAAGATTACAGAAGTTATTTTGCTCCACCTTTCGCGGCGGTCAGCTGGTCCCTCTCCAAATAACGTGATTGGCTCCCCCAGTGCACGGAGGCCGGCTTTCACCTCAGCATCATCAGTGGACACAGTGATCTGTCGGGCTCGTCGCCGTCGCTCAAACTCAGCAAGCGCTTCCTGCTGCCGCTCACTGACCCGCTCCTCAATCTCCAGAGTCTCCCCTGCAAGGCATCAAGGAAAAACAGAGTCAACCAAATTCCTGCTATCAATTAATCACAGATCTGATTGAGCAGATATTATTGATCACATGATTGATCAGAGCCTTGACTGTCGGCACTGTGATCAGCAGAGGGTGGAGGTTCTTCTAATTTCTAATAATTTTTAAGAGACATTTTATCAGAGAAACTGAACAAACTGCTAACCTGATGAGATGTTGATGTTTCCCGCCTCAATTCCCGCCCTGACTGCATCACTTCCTGTTGCTGAGCTGCTCGCCACATTGGCGCTCAGACGCTCCCGCTCTTTCTCCTCCAGGCTTCCATAGAAAACTCTGCTCTTCTTCACGGCCGGAGCCACATCCTCCTCATCGGACATATTGACTTCTTTTTTCTGGAGAAACAACAAAAACACATGAGGAGGATAAAGGTGACATTTTTAATGACAAAAAGAAAAACTGCTCAGAAGAAAAACCTTATTGATCCATTGAGCAGCAGCAGAGTGGCTGAAACGCAAACAATCACCCTGATCAGTAATAAGTGATCAATCAGCAATGTCAATCAGACACAGCAGCAGATTCATACTATACTTGAACACCTTTATTTTTAACTTCCTGTTTGAGCTGCTGCAACTTCCTGCTCAGCTTCACTCGCTGCTGTCGGTCAGACAGAATGACATGCTCACAATGATCAGCTGATCAGCATCTGCTGACATGTTAATCTCACCGCAGAGCTCCACCTCACTGGCCTACAGGTGTGGGTCACAGACAGGTGCTGCACCTGAGGCATGGATTTCCTCTCATCCAGGTAACTTCAGGTTATGCTGGGTTTCTGTACTATTATGGTCAGAGACTTCCTCCTCGTGTAAATCACTGTGGTAACTGATGGGATTTACCCCAGGTTAGAGATCAACAGGTATGAAATCACGCCTACTGACCAATCACCATTCCTGGATGATCCCTCAGAGCTCTGCAGGGAGAGTTGCAGGGTGCGTTTCCCTGGTCGTCAGTAGTAAATACTCAGTTTTATTCCTGTTTAAGCATCAATATCTGAGCACAAAGCCCCTTTTCCATTAGTACGACTGGTTTTCCATAACAATCAAGTACCACCTGATCTGTGTGATCGTTGTTATAGCAACGCTGCTCAGTTTCCTGTGAAGTAATTAATATCCAACACGAATGCTACAACAAAGGTGGACGTGGAGGCGACGATATACCTGCTGCTCGGTCTGTGGCTTTTCGTTAGACTCAGGGAACAGGACATTATTTTTTGTAGCCATTTCCTTTTGTTGCCTGTTTTCAAAAATGACATTTTAGATTTTCGTGAACAAGACGCTCTAATGACTCATTGAGTGACGCCACTGACCAGCCAATCAGTGGCATGCAGTCTGACGATGTCACATTTAAGTACCTGCTTGGAACCCCAGCCCGGCAGATATTAAAAAAAGTACCTGGTACTTTTTTTAATAAGTACCTGCATTAAGTTACTGCATTAAGAACAAATTTACATAAACTCTCTAAACATTAAGAACTCTGAGCTGTTCAGTAAGTTTAAGCTTGTGAATATTCATCCAGTTGTAATACACTGTGTACCACCGTTGCGCCTCGTTTCAACGTTTAAGGCGTCTTCAGTAAATCCAGCAGACTTTGACCTCCATCAGTACATCTGAGTCTTTGTTCTGCTTTAAAACTCCACCCTGGTTTTTCACAGGCTTTGGCACAACAACGGCCTTCGCAGAATCAGGCTGAGAACATGCTGTGCTGAATTCAAATTGGTGATTAGTTTGAAGACCGCGGACATATTTACAGGCGCCGCTCTAGGTGACCTTTGACTCCGTCCCCGTGTTAGGGTCAATGATAACGAAAACAGAACTTCGTAGTTCAGACCTCTAAGCGTCCTCCTGCAGCTCTGCACCGATCAGTAATCGGTAACTCCTCACCGTTTCTCACCTGTGTGTTTCAGGTAAAGCTTCGCGCTCACCGGAGTCAGTGGACAGCGCGAACCCAGAGCCTCTTCAAGGGCTGAGTGTCTGTAACGTGCCGGAGCACGCGCTAACGGATGAGGGGGTAGAGCAGAGTATGGCTGATTTACACTTTGACGTCTCTCTCACCTGTGCAGTTGAACACAGCGGCTCAGAATGCCGTTAAACCGTTCAATGAGAGAAACTTACCGGAGGAGACGAAGGACACGCCGACGCGGAGCACCGTGACCCGGAAGTTCTTCCCTGAAGTGCCACCGGGTCAGAGGTTGCACACTTCCGGTGGACGCAGCAGCTGCAGAAAATAAACAGAGAGAGAAACTGCGGGAAAGAGCATTACAACTCCTCTATCAGGTACCTGCACACCTGTTCACACTGAGGGTATCCGCAAGGACTGTCCGTTACCGGTCACTGTAACGTCACTGCGACTTTACTTTAGCGCAGCTTAGCTTAATTTAGTTTAGCTTAGCTTAGCTTCTGTGAAACCCATCTGCGTGCGCACAGTGCGCATGAGTGGCGACTTAAGGAGCGGCAAGGTTAGGGGTCAGAGGTGAGACTGTTATAGATATTTCAGCAGCCACTCAGATGAGACCATTAAATGTGTCTGTATAACCTCCAGAGCATCCTTTAGAAAAGCAAGCGAGCTAATCATGCTGCTGGTTCCTGTCTGAGCGGTAGGTGTAGTTTATTTAGTTTCTATTGCTTTAGAAGCAGTTGGACGCCCTGAGCTCCGCCCTGAGGCCCTTACCCCGGGAATCTCTCGGTTACCCTGACGTCAGTAATCAGGAGACTTCGGGAGTCAGTGTTGCTGTGGTGATAAGTTACCTGGACTCCTGCTGTGGCTTGATATCAATACGTTCACCATCAGGATCAAACAGTGTGATCAGTGATTCTGATCACAAATATCAGGAAACATTTTTTAGATCTGGTCGATCCTAATTATTGATCTGATGGAAACGATAACTGAAGCTGATTGCTGTTATTGATCAGATTTCAGAATTAATTAAAGCTCCTGTGTCTGAGCTAATGATCTATTGAGTCGGTGTTGTTGAAAGGTTGAAAAGCCAAATGGCTGCTCTCTGGGACTCTAAGTTTAACCTTCATCACTTGACTTTTTTTCCTTCCTCTGAAAACTTTTGAAGTCATCCTGCTCGATGTAGGCATCATCATGACAACAGGAGTTGTAGTTTTATTTTTAAATTACAGCCAGATGTTACAGCCTCATGATATTCACAGTAGAAACACAACAGCTTGTTTCTTTTTGTGCCACCATCAACCTCAAAGCCCGTAAGGATAAGCTAAGATAACCCTTTATTAGTCCCACACGTTGGAATTTTTTTGGTCACGAAAGCATCTGGAAATAGGAAGGGTTCTGATTGGCTACACTGACTTCAATAGAACCGTGAGATGTTTTATTTTGAAAATGTCCAGGAAATGTGTGCAGTAAATCATATTCAGCAGGTTTATAGAACATTGAACTTGGAGGTGAATCATTTTCACCATTCAGTAAGCATGTCAAAAAGCAAATCTGATCACTCAATCCATGTATTGATCGTCTGCTTTCAGCCTGGACTCTAAGTGAAAATGTTGAGGAGGAAACCGACTCGTCTGGAGCTTAAGATCGACGACACTGAGGAGTTCGAGAGCATCAAGAAGGAGCTTGAGGTCTACTCACTTTTGTACCAATCAATCAATCAATCAGTAATAGTAAATGAGAATGAATAACAATCAGTAACATCTGACACTTTAAAGGAAGTAAACTTCAAACAGGACATTATCAGGTTTTCTTTTTCTTTAGGCCAGAAAACGTCAGCGAGAGGAGGCAGAGTCGGGAGGTGGAGTGGGTGGGGGATCTGTAATTGGTGTTGATGTAATTGGGGGTGGAGCCTCTGCCTCAGCATCGTCCTCCACAGCTGCATCAAGGGCAGAGCTTATCAATGAGCGAATCGGCTACAAGCCCCACCCTAAACCGGCGACCCTGCCGACCTTATTTGGAAGTTTACAGTTTTAATGATGAATAAAGTTTGAGCAGAAAAATCTTTGGAGTTTGGAGTATCGTTTTATTTTAAATGAGCAAACATAAAGAATCTCAGAGTGAGATTCTTTATGTTTGCCCCCCCAGCATCATGTGACCTGGTCAGTCAGATGGTCTCCAGTAGGAGGACCAGAGATGGAGTTCCTCGGCTTTCCTGCTTCACTTTATTGACACAACAGCGTCTGACAGCTGTTGCACATTCATACCAAGCTTTTCTTCACACACACACACACACAACTGTGTTGTATTCAGTCTGCATTCTTCATATTTTATTTTACCATTTTATATTTAAAATGTCTACTTTTTATCCACGACTGTGATTGTCCAGAGACTGCCTGTTGTGTGTTAATTCCAGTTGATAAAACTATCAAGTGGAATTAAAACTATTATTTTACCGCTCTGTGCACTAAATCACCTAATTAACTGAAGAATCTGCTGCATTTAGCTCATCTTCTTAAGAAGCGCTGCATTCTGTTTTTTGTCCTTTAGACATTTTTATCACCATTTGATAAGATTTCCACGTGACCAATACAGGTGCTGTGTTGTTGTACGGCAGTGAGATGCCAAACTATGTTTATGGGAAGAAAAAATTTACTCATGTGTATTCATGGTGACAGGAGGCCATCTCTGGTGCGGTTTGACAGTTTACATTTTTGGCTCAATTATGATCTAGTATACAATCCACTAAACATAATTTTTTTAAAGTCTGTAAAAATTTTGATACCAAAATGCTAAATAAGGTCCCGTTTCCACTTTTAACTCAGACGAGAACTGAGCAGTTGCTTTTTTCAAACGTATTAACATTATTTTATTTGCACATGTGTTTTCTCCACTTATACTTCCTCAAATTCTGCATTTGCATCATCTTTTTTTTATAATTAACTAATTTAAATAAATACACTTCTCTCATTCAGTTAGCGCTTTATCCTAGTTATGTAAACAAGAACCATTCACCACTGATTTGATGTCCAGAACGAACCTAGTTCAGACCCTCTCCACCTTCTTCATCCAGGTTACCTGCAATGTCTTTAAAATCCAGCAGATGTTGTTCTTGAGCAACACATCACCACAGTTATGACTATCGGGCATCACCTAGAGCTCAGTTCGTTATAGCCAAGTTACTCCTTAACTCACCTGCTTAAAGTCTGCATAGAGGCATGGCCTCTTTGGCTGATAGGTGAAAAGCAACTCAGTGGTGTAGCTGTAAATGCTGAACTACACCTCTGGACTGCATTTGTGCTGTTCCAGCATTTTGAATGGGCATCAAACACTGGCTTATTTTCATACAGTTTATTTTCATAATAAAGGTACAACAATAATATTTTAAAAAGACGATTAGTGTCGGAACTCAGAAAAACTTGTATTTACAGTAACAGTCAGTAGGTGGAGCTCTCAGCTCTGATGTCCAAGAAGTGATGCTTACCAAACACTACTCACAGTTCTTTTAGTCTGAACACATAGCAACCTGAAAATATACAAAGTGCTGGTGATAAAAATCCAAGCTGTTTGGTCAAAGAAACTTTCTGGGGGAAAAAAAAAAAAAAAAAGCTTGTGGACGTGGTCTGTGTGATGAAACTGTGCATCATGTGCTATTAACCAATCAGCAGTGATGTGCAGAGAAACCCCGCCCCCTAAAAAAAAAGGACGTAAACATTTTTATTTTTTAGTGTTTTTAGTTTTTGTTGGAACGCATTTTTGTTTTGTTCAAGTTAGTGTCTTCAATTAAGTTTAAACTGATATCAATGACATGTGGGCTCAGTTACCGCACGCGGTTTCTGTCTTTTAGATCTTTCAGATTTTAAGATTTTCCCAACTAAAAGCTTCTTCAGATTAATGGCAGAAATAAAAAAAATAAATTAAATAAAACAGTTTTAGTGTTCAGAGCTGATGGTCAAAGGGAAGGATGTGTGGCCGTTATAACAGAAGGGGGCTTCACATCGTTTCAACTAAAAAATAGAAATATCTGAGTTTAAAAAAGAAAAAAAAAGAAAAAAAGCTTGCACAAACATTTTAGCAGCTTCTGTTTGTTTGTAGTGTTGTTATTGATTCAGTGTTTGTTTACTCTGTTTGTTTATCATTTAGTGTAGATCAATCGATCAATTACTCATTCAGTTTCTTGACTCGAGGCTGGCGTCCTTCCTGTAATGCAGTGTTTCATGTTCTGATCTCGGAGTCTGCGATTGGCGATCTTACACTTTAAGGGAGTGTCCTCAGACTGGCCTCATCAACCTCATCACTTCTTCTTAATAGCGGCAAGGTCCCGCTGCAGCTCGGAGAACTTGGGCCGGTCCTCGGGGCTGTACTGCCAGCAGCGCTGCATCACTTTGTACACATCGTCAGGGCAACGTTGAGGGCAAGCCATCCTGTAACCTAGCAACCAGGAACACATGGTCACCACTTGATGATATCACTGATTTTGTGATGCAGCTGACTGATTATCTGAGTGTTTACCTTTCTCCACCTGTTCTCGAGCCTGCTGATTGGTCATCCCCGGGTAAGGACATACCCCCAGACTGAAGGTTTCCCACAGGAGGATACCGTAACTCCACACATCGCTCTCTGAGCTGTAACGACCTGCAGCGCCCAATCACAGCGCAGCACACAGTCAGCAGCCACTCTCTGCTCTGTTTTTATTAACTTCTGTCACAGACTCAACAGCTTCTTTAAAAATCAACAGGCATCTCAGGTACAGGTGTGTGTGTGTGTTACCATAGTTGAGCGCCTCAGGTGCAGTCCATTTTATGGGGATCTGTTTGAGTCCAGAAGAAGAATAAATGCCGTCATCCTCCTGACGACTCATCCCAAAGTCACTGATCTTCAGCACGCTGTTATCCCCGACAAGACAGTTCCTCGCTGCCAGGTCCCTGAGATACACACAGACACACACATACACACACGCATACACGATGGTTAAACTCAGAAAATACTTAAACTTTGAACTCACTCCGAGTTTGATGGCAAGAACAAGTCTCTGCAAAGTTTTGACGGGTTTTATAACCCCGCCGTAACCGTGGTTACCTATGGATGCAGTTTTTGCTCTCCAGGTACGCCATCCCGGCCGCAGCATCAACTGCAAAGCGAAGCAGCTGTTTGGTCTTCAGCTCATCCTTCTTCTTTCTCAGGAATGACAGAAAGTCTCCACCTGGACTCATAAGACACACCTGTTAGAAACTGACCAATAACAATACAAGTTCACTCAATTTAAGCTTCACCCACCAGGAACGAGCTCCATGACAATGTAGATCGGCTGTCGCTGGGTACAAACGCCAATCAGCTTCACAATGTTCGGGTGGTCATACTGCTTCAGGATTCTGCAGCCAATCAGAGAGGAGCAGAGTGAGCGTTCAGCCAATCAGAGAGCAGAGTAAGTGTTAAGCCAACCAGAGAGGCCATTTTTTATATTTCTCACTCTGTTTAATTAATTTCTGAATGTGATCATCACCTCTTTCTTTGGTTAGAGGTAACTATCCCACGCTTCTCTTTCTGGAACAAACTCCTGGAGGAGGCGGGACTCTGGGCAGGTGTGGGATACTCACAGTGCCTCTGGTTCAGAGTTTTCCTGAGGCGGGTTGTCTCTGTAAGACTCGGGGTCACTGACTAAGGTCAGGTAACAGGTCAAAGTGCCCGATCCTCTCAGAGTCTTTGGGTGAAATCCAGAGAAACCTGTAGGTGTCACGGGGTCATCAGCCTGCTCTAAAAAAAAAAAGTGTTGGAGGTATGGAAGGTCATAAGCACCTCAATCCACCTCACTCTCCGAAGGCCAAAGGTCACTGATTGCATTGTATCAGCTGATCTAAGGCCACGTGTAATACGCTTGGCTGAAGATGAGCTGAGCGCTGAGGAGGATTAGAAGGCGGTGAAGCCTCAGCAGAGTCCTGGCAAACTTAAACAGAGAGTGAGGGGTGAATGCTAGGAGGAGCTCCTTTTTGATCCATGTCTTTAATGTCATGTAGAGTTCTGAGACAGAACCAGTGGAGCGGCAGAACTGCATGACAGATCCTTTCTTTAACACAAGGACCAAAGCTGTGATCAGGTATCACCCTGCTCAGCCTCCCTTATGGAGAAGAGGTGCGATGTAGTTTTGGCCTTTCTCTGACTGTCCCATCTACAGTTTGAGACAACCCTAATGACCATCACTTCGTGGACATCAGAGCTGAGAGCTCCACCTACTGACTGTTACTGTAAATACCAAATCCAGGAGGATCTGACTGGAGGAGCGCAAGTCGACCTTGGTGTGATGAGCCTTTTTCCGGGTTTTTAAACTCACATCTTTCTGTTCCTGAGGCTGATAGATGGGTTGAACTTTCTGAACTTGCTTTATAATCTTCTCTTCTTCTCTTCTGGCACCGTGGATAATGATTCAGGGTTCAGGTTTGGCTTCCAAAGTCAAAACCGTGCCCTTAACATTCAGCTCGGACTCAGCGGGTATAGAAGAGGGTTTCCCGTTTTCCACCTTCAGGGTTTCTACCTGAAGGCGGAAAACTCTGGACCTGTTGAGATGGGAGGAGACTATGCAGGGATTACTGCTCTGGGAATACCAACATTCCAGCAGGAAAGGGAGAAAAGGACGTCTGACATCGCCCGATTAGATGCTGACATAACAACCCAAGTTTGACAGGGAGTACACAGACAGACATTTGGGCTGTTTCCCGATATGTGGTGTAAAAACTGTTTGATTGATTTGCTACTGACTGATTTGTTGATGATGATGATGATGGTGCTTGCATGAAGGGCTCACCTGGCTTCAGACAGAAAGCGGATCTTCAGCTCTGGAAGCAAATCCTCTTTACACGTTTTCACGGCAACCGGTGTTTTGTCTCGCTGCAGAGTCCCTTTGTACACCTCGCCAAAGTTACCCTGTAATAAAGACAGCAACGAACCACGGGAAATGAAGGCGGTGAGTGAAAGATGAGTATAAGGACAGGTAGATGCCTCACCTTTCCCAGCAGGTCCCCCAGCACCACATCCTCATGGTTCAGGATCCACTTCTTGTCCTGCAGAGAAAAAACAGCCAGTGAGCACCAAATACCATCATGATAACTAACCTCAATGCACAACTGTATGTGGGTGTAGGAGGGGCTACCTTTACAACGGGGTTTTGCAGCACGACTCCAGACTTCTTGGTAATGACTTGCTTGGTGGTGAAGTGATGCTCAATGAGCTGAGGGATGGTGGTGAAGCCCGTCCCCTCAAAACGGTACTGATTCTACCAGAGAGGGTGAGAGACATTAGCTTAACATATGAGAGAGACACACACACACACCGGGTTACTGTGTGTGAATATATGTCGATATATTGGATGATGAAGTGTGTGTGTGTAATCGCACGTACATCAGCATACTGGATGATGAAGTGACGTCTCTGATCGTCAGAAAACACAGACAGGACATACTCGCCCGGTTTGCCATGGCTCTCCCTAACGAGGAAGTCTCCCTGTTGCCGTAGTAACTCCTGAGCCTCAATGCGGGGGATGGCGCCGTGGTACCACTCTTGCTCTGCTAGAGGGCGTTCCGATGTGGGGATCACATCAAAGAACTGCTGCAGAGATGCAGAAGAAGAAAAATCTCCAATATAATCTGATCCTTCCACCTCTGATTCAGACCGCCCCCTCCCCCCACCTCCTCCAGCTCTATTTGGGGGAAACCGGGGCGTTTCCAAACCAGATGAGACTAACGATCTCTTAGGTGTCCTGGATCTTCTCCCAGTTGGAGATTAAACACCTTAGTAAGGATCAGCACAGCATCCACATCCCTACAGCAACCGCTCCATCAGTCACTCTTCCACTCTGCTCTCTCTGAGATACCGAAACTCCTCCAACCAAGGACCCTAAGCCTCCAATACCTAGAGTGAGAACATGGCCTCACACATGGAGCTGCTCATTCTCATTCTCTGGAGAAGCTGAAAGTGACGTGAATCAGTTGACCCGTGATGCCAGAAATGCCAATGAGAAATTCAAAGAGGCGGTGCCAAAGCCAAGTCCCTGAAATCCACGAGCACTCCCTTTGTTACCCTGTCTCTATCCGTAAAAGTTTTGAACAGCATCAGTAACAAAGGGCAGCCCCAGTGAAGTGCAGCACCACCACCACCAAGCCCTCATTGAGGCCGTACAGGGGCTGAATGCACGCAACTACGAGCTAGAAGGCTCTTACTTCCAAAGCACCCTCTAGAGGACTGCCCAAGAGATGTAGCTGAATGAGTCCACAAAGCACAGGTAAGCAAGTTGGACAAACTCCTTCCACACCTCAGTTACAACTTTGGCTAATGCCAGAGTCACTCTCTGATTAGCTGCTTCCTGTCAGATCTATCTGGACTCCCACAGGCTAATCAAGACTCCTCCGTCCTCTGGAGGCTTCCTTCACCTCTGCTGTCCGGGAAAGGCAACATGACAAGTGCAGCTACATAAGCCTGTTGTCCATTAGTACCTACTCGGGTTGGCTCGCCACAGCTTGCCATGGTTTTCAGGCTTTTCATGTTCATACAAAATACATCACAGGATGCTCGGTCACATTGCTAATACTCCATTGTAATGGAATACAAGTCGAGGCAAGTCAAGCTGACTCGAGTAGGTGCTAATGGAAAAGGGGATACACAGTCTCAGGTTTTTCTGAAGCTCTCCCAGACCAGAGACCTGGTTTTATATGACTTGTGTCAACAGTGGGTTCAGTGATTCTGTTCAGATATAAACGGGTTCAGTGTTGAAAAGTCTTACCGAGGTAGAGGAGCCCAGCATTGCTTTGGGAGATCGAATCATCCCAGCCAGAGAGTGACGAAGAGTGTCGAACCGAGATCCACGGTCCTTCACTTTGTCCTACACACACACACACACACACACACACACACACACACTTAATCCAGAGCGCTACATTCAAATGTTAAATGTGGAAAAACGCTTGTGAAAAGGAATCTCTTCCTGTCAGTTCTAATCGATAAATGAAAACTAATAATTGAATATTTACAGTTGATCCGACAGAGCGAGTATCGTCCTCGTATGGCAGTGCCGGGGGTGGTGGTGCCGGGGGAGGGGAAGCAGCAGCATCTGCCATCTTGGCGTCGAGCAAGGCCTTCTGGGAGGCAAGGCTTGCCTCTGAGCTGCGCAGTGATTGGACAGCGTGCCGAAGCTCGAGGAGAGAGAGTTTCTGACTGAGCAGCAGGACGCAGCTGAGGGCGAGAGACACAGACAGTCAGAGACAGAGAGAGAGAGAGAGAGAGAGAAAGAGAAAGCTCTGACTCCACCTCCTCGCACTCACTCGCTCTTCTTCTCCGCACTTTGCTGACTCGTCTGGATTTTGTTGTCCAGGTCGTCAGCCAGCGCCTCCTTGCCCTGCAGATTCTGCTGAGTCAGCTGCAGCTCCTCTGTTGCCGACGACAACCTAAAGGCAATTAAAACAAGGGTTAGTAGCCACACCCACATACACACAAAGACAGTGGTGTAACTCCACTAAGTACACCACCCCCCATCACACCGAACCTAAAGCCAAACAGGCCAAAGCAGGCAGAGTGGTGCTCAGGACCCCAGGCAGAAATCACAGAGCTCTGCGCTCACCAAAATCAGATACTAACAGGTACTACAAGCTTTTAGTTTGGTGGGTTACGGCAAACACTGAAATGAAAGTTTGAAAAAACGCACTTGGCTCTCAAGCTTTCGGCTGTCAGCGTGTTCCACAAAATCTCATTGGCCGGCAGGTTGTCCATCTCCTCCGAAAGAGATGCGTCAAACTCCACAGTCGCCTCTGGCGTCTCCGGAGACCTAAGAGAGGTAGGCAGGTGGTTACCAGTGCAACCCGGACAAAGAGGTGTCCTGTCCAACAGGTGTGAGCTGACCTGTAGGCGTCGATGAAGTGCTGATACTCGGCAAGAGGATCGATCTGCTCAACTGCTGCCGCAATCTCCTGATGGACCTTCACGATCTCCTCAGAGAGAAGACTGCTGATCTCACAGTACTCCTCAAGAATACTTTTCCTGCACCAATACACACACAAAAAGTAGCTGACAGTACTCTTCCAGAATATTTTTACTGCAGTAATAGATAGGTATGAGATGGTATGACAGTGGTCATGTGACTCACAGGGCAAGTGTCATGTCTTCCTGCATCCTCTGCAGAGCGTCCAGCAGGGCGGGTGCGGCATGGCAGCGGTGTTCATCCTGCTGCGTCCGGGCGCTGCACACCGCGAGCACATACTGGTTGTGAAGGTTGTGGAGCTTTCCCATAGCCTTGTCATAACGGTCGCGGGCACGCTCCACCTCACGGCCTTTAATTGGAAGTGAGAGACGGTTAGGGAGGAGTCAAAAGGACAGTGTAACAAAGGACAGTGTAACAAAGAGGATTTCAGGGACTCACCTTTGGCTACAGCCTCTCTGTATTTCTCTTTGGTGTTGCTGGCATCACGGCTCAACTGACGATACGTCACCTTCAGTTTATCCAGGTCAGTCCTGGTTACCTAGCAACCATAACCATACCGAGAAGTAACGAATGAAATCTTAACCACATGCCTATAAATTTAAATGGTGGATGACATCATAATGATTTGTTTTTAATTAATTGAAATTATTTAAAAGCTGATGAAACCTAAGAGACGTGCTCAGGTGAGCTCACTCAGTCCAACATGCTTGTAAAAGCCCTGGGTGCTTATATTATGCACCAACAGGAAACTAACTTTTAGCTAAGGCTCTGACTCAGTCTGCTGCCCCTCCCCCTGCACACCTTGTGGATGTGGCTCTCCAGCTGCTGATGAAGACTTTGGTAGCTCTTCTTCACCTGCTGCTTGTCCCGGATCAGCGTGGCGAGACGGTGCAGTGGCCCCGAGTTCAAATCGTCGGCGTGACTTCTCATTATCCGACCCAACGCCTCCGTCTGACGAATCACCTGCGACCACGACTGGGACACAAACACACACACTTAGACTGGTCCACATGCTTTGCCCCTCCCATTAAACCAACAACTGAGCCACTCACCTTACTCACGGTGCTGACATAGTCGGCAGTTTCTTGTTTCTCCATCTGCTGCGTCATGCTGAGCAGCAGAGAGGCATACTCTTTATCACTTTTCACCCGCAGCGTCATGAAGCGCTTCACCGTCTCCAGCAGCTAGAAGGCAGGCAGCAAGAGTGAACCAGACAAGAAGTGACGAGTGGAGAGGAGGAGGCGCAGAATAATGACATCACACAAAAGACAGGTGTTTGACACAGAATGTAGATAAAAGATGGACCTGGCCACTGTGACACACTGATTTTTGGAGTCTCAACGTTAGCATTTTGGAAGGTGCTATGTTATTTATTTGATTAAGGAAGTGACCATATTTGTCCGAGAGGGCAGATTTACTTAATGCTGTGTAATATTAAATCAAAATCTTCAAATTTCACTCTCAAAACTGAAGATCACCCTTCTCAGCCCTGTTAGTACAGTAACCTCACAGCAGCCATATAAATTAACATAATTAAAAATGCTCCTAAAGGCTCCAACAAACTTTACTATACAAACTTTTAAAAAAGTGTTATATAAACGTTATATAAACATTTGCCCTCGTACGGGTGTATTAAACCAGGAAATTATCTATAGAGACTAGGGATAGGTATCGAAAACCGGTTCTTGTTGAGAACCGGTTCCCACTGTTTCAATTCCTTGGAATTGTTTGCCATTTTTGCAAACGATTC